GAAATTAAAAAGGTTTAAGTACCATTTTGGTCCCTCAACTTTTCACTTTAGTACCAAAATTGTCACTCACCTTTAAAAAGTACCAAAATTATCCTCATACTTTCATTTTCGGTACCAAAATGATCCTTCTGTCAGTTAAATGACAGGTGGCTCGTTAAAATGCTACAAAATTATTAGACTTTTTGAATCTTAATGGCGTGTAAATCCAGCTAAGAAAATTTTTTATACACGTGGCATATTTTTTTACACATCATATTTTCACTTTTTAACTGTCCCTTTTAATGGGGCCCATGTGACTTTTTTCAACTTTTCTTATTCTTTCTCTCCTCTCTTCTCTCTTCTTCCTCCTCTCCAAATCTGGGTTTGATCAAACCCAGATCTGGGTTATTTCAACCCAATAAGAACAATCGATGGCAATGGTTAAATGTTTTCGTTTCCCACAACGCGCCTTTTCACTACTCGTTCTCGAGGAGTCGCCTGTGGATTCTCCGGGAATAAACCACAACCACGCCGGTAGCTCCTTTCCGCTACGTCGGAGTCGTTCGCCAATTCGTTGCTTGTGCCTCTCTTCACTACTAGATCTCGAGAAGTCGGTTGTGGATACTAGTCGAATAAACCATTGCTTATGCCTTTCTTCAACGGACGAAATGCTGGTTCGAGGTCGCGTGAGTGGCGTTCCACCAAGGATCTCTCAGATCGGTGTCAATGATGGTCCTGGTGATGGTCGCTGCTTGATGTCGATGGATTATTGCCAATGTGATGAAACCTAGATCTGGGTTTGAGATTGCCAGTTGAAGATTTACAGTTTTTGAGATTGCTGTCTTTGTTACACAACAAATTTTATAGTTCTGAGAATTGATTCGTTATTCTTATGGTACAATTCTTATTCTCCTACTCGTAATCTTGGGGTTTGATTCGCTTGAATGTTCTATGCTGCTTTGTGTTCTACCTAAATTTCAGCTAATGATTGAGTTGCTCAATTATTTAATTGAATTATAACATGTTTATTTTGTTGTTAATTTGGTTGCGTTTTAATTGTATCATGGAGAAAAGCAGATCGGTCAAGGTATTGTTGGCTTAGGGTGGTGGAGGTGACTGCCTTTGCATTTGCTGCTGTAAACTTGGGTTATAGAAATGTTGGTTCTCCGTCACGGTGGATTTTATATGGGAAACTATTTCTTTCATTTGGATTATCATTTTGTGTAGAAAATGAACACACGACATGACTGAGAAAAACCCAGATCTAGGTTTGAGAGAGGAAAGGAGAAGAGAGAGATAGAGAAAGAATAAGAAGAAGAAAGAAGAAGGATGAGCAGGGAGTAGGAAAGGAGGAAGAAGATAAAGTTTGAGAGAGAAACCCAAATCCCAGATCTAGGTTCGCAGAGGTAAGGGAAAACGAAAGGTAAAGGAGAGAGAAAGTGAAAGAGGAAGAAGAGATGATGTGGATAAAAAAGAAAATATTATTATTTTTAAATTAAATAAAAATGCCAACTCATAGGCCAACTATGTTTTTTTTTCCACGTCATTAGTTATGAAAGAAAAGGAATTGATTTGCTGGCAAGTTAACGTGACACCTGTCATTTAACTGACGGAAGGATTATTTTGGTACCAAAAATGAAAGTTTAAGGATAATTTTAGTACTTTTTAAAGGTGAGGGACAATTTTAGTACCAAAGTGAAAAGTTGAGGGACCAAAATGGTACTTAAACCTATTAAAAATTATAAAAATTAGGTTAAATGCTTAATTTGGTCCCTTAACTTTATGAAATGAACATTTTTGGTCCCTCAACAATTTTTTGCACTTTTTTTATCCCTCAACTATACAAAATGCACTCCGTTAGTCCTTCTGTTAATTTGGGCCGTTAACTCTGCCTAGGTGGCATTTTTTATATTTTTTTTGATGATGTGGAGAGCAAAACTTAAAAAAGTGATGATATGCATAAAACTTCTGCCATGTCACATGTTACCTGGTAAAATCACGCCAAATCCATCCAAATAGGTCCCACATCACCATCTTTGCCCATCAGTTACTGTTTTTCTTCCTTCCATGTTCGACAGAACCCAGCAGATCTGGGTTCGATGTAACCTAGCAAATAGGTTCCATCGAACCCAGCTCGATTCACTGAACTCAATTGCCTAAAAATCCCTCACAACAACCTGCAATTGCCCAAAAATCCATCAAAAACAACAACCTGCAATTGCCCAAAAATCCCTTGCAACAACCTGCAATTTGAATAGTCTCTTGGCAAACAATCATATAACAAAAAAAAAAAAA